AAGGGGTTGGACTGGATGGCCCTTGTCGTCTCTATGACCGCTATCCAACTTCTCTTGAAACCTCCCCAAAGAAGGAGAATCCACTACCTTTCACCGCAGTCTATTACACTGTCGAACAGTTCTTACTCTCAGGAAATTCTCCCTCACATTCAGTTGAAATATCCTTTCTTCTAGTTTGAAGAATTTAGTTAGACACTAAGGAGTTTATCACACGGGAGACTAAGTGCCCAAATCCTGTGCAGAAACTGGATTTAAATTCCGAGAATATCCCCCAAAAGTGGGATCATTTTCAGACACATTGGGGGCACTGAGCATTAATCCGACATTATCCTGCATAGAAAGTGGACAAAATCAGCCTCCCGAAAGTAAAAAGCGTCCGATTTTGTCCTCTTTCCGTGCAGGTTAATGTCAGATTAATGCTCAATGCTCCCGATGTGAATGAAAACAATCCCACTTTTGCAGGATTTGTCCACTTTCTGTGCAGGTTAATTTCGGATTAATGCTCAACGTATCTGAAAACGATCCCGCTTTTGTGGATTTCAATCCCGCTTCTGCACAGGATTTGGCCGATTGCCTCCTGTGTGATAAACTCCTGTGTAATGCTAGCATTAGACGTTAAGCTAAGGAAGATAATCTAGGATGATGACATTGGTAATGAAAGATTTAAATTAAGTGCCTAGCTAATGACTGTTCTAAATCGTGCTTGCTTTTTAAAAATATTTAATGAAAAGAAAAGAAAAGAAAAGAAAGGAAAAGAAAGAAATATCCTTTCTTCTAGTTTGAATCCACTGGTCCACGTCTTGTTGTTTGGTGTCAGTTCCTAAGTAAACCCGTTTACCTTTGGTCCCTTGTGCTTTGCTTTTGCACAGCTGGGCATCTTCTTTGGGGCAGAATCTCCGGATGCAGACATCAAGTCTCACGATCAGCCGCTGTGCTGTGCCTTGTACAACAAGATTTTTAAGCAGGTGAGCCACTGGATGGAGAAGAGCAGAATCATAAAATCATAGAATCATAGAATCATAGAGTTGGAAGAGACCACAAGGGCCATCCAGTCCAACCCCCTGCTATGCAGGAACTCCCAATCAAAGCATCCCCTGGGACAGATGGCCATCCAGCCTCTGCTTAAAGACCTCCAAGGAAGGAGACTCCACTACTCTCCGAGGAAGGAGTGTGTTCCACTGTCGAACCGCCCTTACTGTCAGGAAGTTCCCTCTAATGCTGAGGTGGAATCTCTTTTCTTGCAGCTTGCATCCATTGTTTCGGGTCCTAGTCTCTGGAGCAGCAGAAAACAAGCTTGTTCCCTCCTCGATATGACATCCCTTCAAATATTTAAACACGGCTATCATATCACCTCTCAGCCTTCTCTTCTCCAGGCTAAACATCCCCAGTTCCCCAAGTCGTTCCTCATAGGGCTTTATGGTTTCCAGACCCTTCGCCATTTTAGTTGCCCTCCTTTGGACACGCTCCAGAAATGTCCTGGGAGGTTTAGCTGGGAGAAAACAACTTCAGGTTCAGCAGGCCTGTACTTCTGCAAAACTTGGGTTTCAGATCAAGCGTGGTGTAGGCACCTGCCCCTTGTTTCTCCCCAGCCCTGTTTTGGCTCAGTTTCTCCCTACACTCACTACCTGCATTTGATGTTGAGGGCTGCTTTTTAGGCTGTTTTTTTTTTAAAGATAGAAAAATGGTTTATAAAAACAAACACAGTGGTCCCTCCACATTCACTGGGGTTAGGGGTGAAGGACCCTGTGAATGTGGAAAAACAAAACAAAAAAACACTATTCTTTTTAACCTAGGAGAACTATGGACCTTATCACACGGGGCCCAAAGCAGTCAGAATCCACACTAAATCCCGTCCTATTGCGCTTTATTTT